GCTCTCGAACAGTGCATTGCTCTCAAGCAGTGCGTTGCTCTTGAGCTGTGTGTTGCTCTCAAACAGTGCATTGCTCTCGAGCTGTGTGCTGCTCAGATTGTGTTGCTCCAGCAGAGTGTGCGTTGCTCCAGCTGTGAGTGCGTTGCTCCAGCTGTGAGTGCATTGCTCTCAAACAGTGTGTTGTTCTCGAGCAGTGCGTTGCTCTTGAGCTGTGTGTTGCTCTCGAACAGTGCATTGCTCTCGAGCTGTGCGCTGCTCAGATTGTGTTGCTCCAGCAGAGTGTGCATTGCTCCAGCTGTGAGTGCATTGCTCCAGCTGTGAGTGCATTGCTCCAGCTGTGAGTGCGTTGCTCCAGCTGTGAGTGTGTTGCTCCAGCTGTGCATTGCTCAATTTGCGCTGCTCCAGCGAAAATAAATTTGTTTGCATTGCAGCACTTGGGCAGTGTAAATTTCGAGTGCATTGGGGGTCAACGCAGTCGCGTGAATTTCGAATTTGGCAGAGTGCAATTGTGCATTGCCCGCAAGCAAGACACACCGGCTAGGGCTAGGGATCAGCAACACTATTGTTCCTAGTGCCAAAATGAACAACTTTCATTAATAGGTCGACACATGTTGAAAGTCATCCCTACCGGGCAGCCCCTTGTAACCCTACCTCCTCTTGGTCCAGGGGGTAAGAGTCTGTCCTGGTCCTGCTGTAGGGATCCACCTTAGTCTTGACATATCTTGGCCCAGTAGGTGAAGCATACTTCTCATAGTTGACGTTGTCCTGCTCATCCAGGTTGACAAATGAGACTGATCGTCTTGGTCGTGGAGCTGGAGTAGGAGTATGTGGGTCTCCTATCATAGACTCATCTCCTCCTCCTGCTTGGTCTTCTGAGTGAGAGAGGTCAATTGTCTCCTCTCTGCTCAGATGAGCTCATTGTAATCATTCCTCTTGTTGACCCTGCCTGGTAAGCTCTAGCTGGGCTTCCAATAGAGTGAGTAGTCTATCAAGCTTATGGTTGAGGTCTGGATCCATCATGGTGATCATGAGGAGCTGCTTGAATGATCCACTCTAATGTCAGGGGTCTCGCACCTGAAACCCAGGTCGGTCTGTCAAGATACTTGGTGACTATCAAACTGTGCGACAGCTATTGTCTCGGTATCGGTCTCGACGAGCTAGTCGTTCGGCGACTATCACTTGGCACGATCAATATCAATGTGTAGGTTATGATGACACCAAGGTCTGGTGTGAGTGTTGATGATGATGAGGTTGATGGTGTTGGTGATAAGGTTGGTGGTGTCAACATGAGTGTCCAGTGTGTTGACTGATGCTTGAGGTGATCCCCGGACCACAGTGGACTACTGCCTTTGGTTCTATCTATATCTGGACTGCTGACCTGCTATGGGTCACCTTCAGACATCAGGTAGTGGTGATACAACACATGCACTATGATGAGGAGCAACCTTGATAGATTGCTGCTATGCTGACTGAAACTAATATATACTTATGCTGAAGTGATAACTAGTTATGATGTGTGTAGAGTGGATGAGGATCCACTCAACCTTTGATGATGAGAAAGCATGGTTATATACCTCTTCACAGCATTGCCAGCGACACTGCTCCTGCTCTCTCTCCAGAGAGTACCTTCTTCATCGAGTACTGTTCAGGAGGACTCTCCTGCTTGCTTGGCACCCCTGTGCCTCTTGAGCTGTGTTGACTCCTTTGACACTGCTCCTCCTCCTTGCTATCCTGCTTGTTTGGCACCCTTGTGCCTCCTGAGTGGTGTCGACTCCTTTGACACTGCTCCTCCTCCTCAGGACCTGATGTCAACTCCTTCGACACTGCTCCTCCTCCTCAGGACCTGCTTGCCAGTTCCCTATACACTGCTCCTTCTCCTTTGACCAGTGACGGTTCCTTTGACTCTTGTCTCTTGAGCCCCTGAGTGGTAACCATCTGCATGCTCCTTGAGCTTGGTCCTCTTTGTGGCTGTGCCTGGCCCTCCTCGCATATGGGCTTGGTCCTCCTTTGCATGTGAGTCCATAGGAGTCCATGGTCTCCATGGAGACTGCACTATGACCATGCTCTCTAATGGTATTGACTAGATCTTCAATACCTGTGCTCCTTCCATATGAACCAGTGACCCTCCTGCTTCTTGAGCATTCAGGCCCATGACAGATCTCATGCTCCTTCTGGTCCCTGTCAGTCTGCAGCTGGGCTTTTGCAACCCTCTTCCTAGGTGAGATGTTGACCATTGATGTCAAAGTGGTGTATGTTGAGCAGTGCTGACAAGAAAGGAGTGTATGGAGATGAGATCAAGACAAGTTCAAGATGAGAAAAGTGTGAGAATCATAGTGGAGCTGCTGCCTCAAAATTTCAAGATTGAGAGGGGGACTTGGCTGTTTCAGCAATTTTGAGTCCAGAAACTCCCAAGTCCCCCAGCCAGTTCCAATCCGAGACCTACGTGAATTTGACATGTATGTGAACTACATTACTCCTGAGTTGTGTGGACACCTCAACCTGCGTGCGTCCATTCCCCCATGTGGTAACTCCTACACGTGCTCCCATGCTCGGAGCCCTTCCATGCCCATTGTCTCCTTCCGTACCTCTCCGCTCGCCACCGGTGATGGCGACAAGCCTCCTGCGGCTATCCTGTTGCTCCTATGGGATTGCTTGACAAGTGATGCATTGATGAGTCCTTCTTGCGGTACGTTTGGCAAAATCTTCCGGCTGGGCTTGTTCTGACCGATTTCACATTTCGTGCGCACACTGCACATCCAATGCATATCCAGGGTCTTCTGCGCAGGCCCTGTAACACAGAGCACGGAACAGAAACATGGCAGGATTGCACGAGCAATCTTGGAAAGATGATCAACAGCATTGAAGGTGTTGCAGTACCTCATCATTGACGAAGCGATTTGTGTTGGTCACGCGTGATGTGACAGCTGGTCGAAGCACAGCACGATGCAACGCAACGTCTATTGTTCATGCGGCCGGCAGGAACCTTTGTTGCTTCCGTCTGGTTGAGACAAGGGGAATGCTTTGAGTTCGAGAGGACCGAGTATTTCAGAGACAGCTACGACATCAAGAGGCATATCGCTTGGCGAGTATGCAGCGGACACAAACAGAAGATTGTTGGTAAACCGACCACAAGAGAGCGAATCACACAGATCCGACCCGATCGCAGAAGTCCTGGGATCGGTCGCTGACGAAGGCTGGGTGGAAGGGCAACGCAGTGAGCAGATCGCCGCGCTCATCGAGCGACAGATCGGGATACTTCTCAAGAAGGCGAGAAGAGCTGTTGCGGCTAGCTGCCGCAAATTAGAGGATGCGCGACACCTCTTTTTTACGCACTTCAGCATCTTTGGCTTGTCCTTCGATTCAGTCTCCTTCCGAGCAGGTCGCGGGCAGCGGTCTAGGCCCAAGCTTTGTCTTCTCGCTCGCGAACCTTGCAGGATATGCAGAGGCGTGATTGAGGATTGTCATTCTGCATCAAACGTTCGATAGCAAGGCCAAGAAGGCGGGGGTTGGGTGACACACACCCTTGTCCAGCATGGCAGAATTGGACTTGCACAACGCTAAACACCGAATGCAACGAAAGCAAGATCTCGCTAGCACAAACATCTTCTAAATGACGGGTAAACGTCATATCGAGGTGCTCTCGTCTCTCTCTAACTTGACAGATCAAGCTGGACAGCAACAACAGACCAGCCAAGCCAGGGAGTGTTCGAAGGCGATGCGGACCTGCTTGGTGGAGATCGCAAGGGAAATTGGCCGCGTGACCCCTACGGTGACCGAAGGCGCGATCGACAGCAAGGAAGGAAGAGACTGTTCTCGGCCAGCTGGTGCCTTGTTTACTCCGCCTTCTAAGCGATTGGTCAGGAGGCGTTCATATCCGCCACAGCACCACTTCCTCCCTTTTCTTGTGATTCACCCCTGTCGACAACTCTTGTTGATGTTGATACCTCACACAAAATGTTTCGACTTTCTTCTGAGTCGATCGGTATCGTGGAGTAGGGTCACCGGCTGCGAGGAGAGCCTCTCGGAGCTATATACTAATGTGCGGCAGACAGGCGCTTTTGTGTGTGTTTGTGTGCCCTTCGACTAGAAGAGCTGGCTGGCTATGCATTTCTGAGGTGGGGAGGCCCAAGAGAGTCCTTCGTCGGTTGACAGACCGCATGACCGTCAAGGTCGTAAAAGCCGCTCGTGGCGTTGCAGCAGGCTCGAAAACTACCCTTATACAGTGTGTCACCTCTTAGGCTTTTCGAAAGACAGACAGACGGTCGAGTGTCGGCTTGTGCCGCAACTGAACCCTATTTAGAGAGAGGGAGAGACGAGAAGCGCAAAAAGGCCGAAGACGAAGCTCCCCTTTTTTATTTCATTTTTTATTTCATTTTTTATTTCATTTTTTAATTTCTTTTTTAATTTCTTTTTTTTTTTTTTTTTTTTTTTTTTTTTTTCTCCTTCTCCTGCCGTTGGTTCGTTCGCTAACGCTGCGAGCAAGAAAAGTGTGTGTGTGTGTGTGTGGAGAATGACCGCCCACCGAACACTCTGCGCACTGACTGCGGCTCTTGACCGACACCTTACCCTGCTCGTCTGCTGTAGAGAGGTTGGTAGAGTTGTCCAACGCGCGCGAAGCCTCGTTGTGATGATGCGCCTTTGTGTTGCAGCTGCTGGAACTGCCGCTCCCGCAATGCCCAAAGACGACCTTGCCCGCAGCGTTGTCGCCAGCGTCGACACACTGTGTCAGCCAGCCTGCAGTCGCTTTTCTTAATGTGGGACTTGTGGAGCTCCATCTTGGTTCGAGGTGTTCAGCCGCTTTGCTTCACTATTCCCCGCAGTTAGAACCTTGACTCGCGCATGGCCTCTTTCATCAGTCGTATATAACCTTGAGTCTTCCTCGGCGACCTTCTTCGCGTACCACACCACGGAATCGTCTTTGTTCATCGATTCTTCTCTCCTGACTTGATCACCCTCGAATCTCATTACACACAGACACACACCAACAACACTCGGCCAACATGCCTACTCTCAACCTCGACCTCCCTAACGGGATCAAGTCCACCGTTCAGGCTGAATTGTTCATCAACAACAAGTTCGTCCCCGCTCTTGACGGCAAGACTTTCGCCACCGTCAACCCTTCCACTGGTAAGGAGATTGGTCAGGTCGCTGAGGCTTCCGCCAAGGATGTCGATGTTGCCGTCAAGGCTGCCCGTGAGGCTTTCGAGACTGTCTGGGGTGAGAACACTCCTGGCGACGCTCGTGGCCGTTTGCTGATCAGGCTCGCCGAGCTTGTTGAGGAGCACGTTGACGAGCTTGCTGCCATCGAGTCGCTCGACAACGGAAAAGCCTTCTCCATCGCCAAGGGCTTCGACGTTTCTGCTGCAGCTGCCAACCTTCGCTACTACGGCGGCTGGGCCGACAAGAACCACGGAAAGGTCATCGAGGTCGACAACAAGCGTCTCAACTACACCCGTCACGAGCCTATCGGTGTCTGCGGTCAGATCATCCCTTGGAACTTCCCCCTCCTCATGTTTGCCTGGAAGATCGGTCCCGCCCTTGCTACTGGTAACACCATCGTTCTCAAGACTGCCGAGCAGACCCCTCTCTCAGCCATTAAGCTGTGCGAGCTGATCGTCAAGGCTGGCTTCCCTCCTGGCGTCGTCAACGTCATCTCTGGTTTCGGTCCCGTCGCCGGTGCCGCCATCTCGCAGCACATGGACATTGACAAGATCGCCTTCACCGGTTCTACTCTTGTCGGCCGCAACATCATGAAGGCTGCTGCCTCCACCAACCTCAAGAAGGTCACCCTCGAGCTCGGCGGCAAGTCGCCCAACATCGTCTTCAAGGATGCCGACCTCGACCAGGCTGTCAAGTGGTCCGCTTTCGGTATCATGTTCAACCACGGGCAGTGCTGCTGTGCCGGTTCGCGTATCTACGTCGAGGAGGAAATCTATGATGCCTTCATGGAGAAGATGACCGCCCACTGCAAGGCGCTTCCCGTCGGTGACCCATTCGCTGCCAACACCTTCCAGGGTCCTCAGGTCTCGCAGCTCCAGTACGACCGTATCATGGAGTACATCGAGTCGGGTAAGAAGGATGCCAACCTTCACCTCGGTGGTGTTCGCAAGGGTAACGAGGGTTACTTCATCGAGCCCACCATCTTCACCGATGTTCCTCACGACGCCAAGATCGCCAAGGAGGAGATTTTCGGCCCCGTCGTCGTTGTCTCCAAGTTCAAGGACGAAAAGGACCTTATTCGCATCGCCAACGACTCAATTTACGGTCTTGCCGCTGCCGTCTTCAGCCGAGACATCAGCCGTGCTCTCGAGACTGCCCACAAACTCAAGGCCGGTACCGTCTGGGTCAATAACTACAACCAGCTCAACCCCCAGGTTCCCTTCGGTGGTTACAAGGCTTCGGGTATTGGCCGAGAGCTTGGCGAGTACGCTCTTGCCAACTACACCAACGTCAAGGCTGTCCACGTCAACCTCAGCGTTCCTGCCCCCATCTAAGCCATTGTTGCGGCTCAAAAATATGTAATGAAAGTGTGTCTGTTCGATCCTGTATTCGCAATGTAATGTCATCTTGCTCTTCAGGTTACCATGTGTCATCTTCTTGTCTGTGCCTCTGTCTGACGTTGGTAAATTCTGAAGGCAATGTGCTATACGAAAGCTTGCTTGAAGCAAAGAAAACTTGCGATCAAAGGCCAAGTTGATTAATTGAAAACATCGGGGAGATCGATCACGAACTGCTCCCGATGCTGCTGTTTCACTTGCGGCAGAAATGACGCGTTGGACCCTGAGAACGTGCCTCAAACTGTTGAAGTTTGGTCCCGATAACTGGCGATCAGGTAGAGTCCAAGTACGATGTCACTGCTAGTTTTAGACAGAAACAAATATACTCAATTGACTAAAAGAACGTGGTGAGAACCTAGTGTTCTCAGCCTTCAGCACAAACAAGTGTCACGTCTGATGTGGCAAACCCAAAACAGCATTGTTTTGAATTGCTCGAGCCATCCCATCCCTTTCATCAAGGTGCTGAGCCAAAGTCGCCAATGTGACACTTGAGTTGCTGAGCCGTGTTGCCTTGGCTTGAGACGAGGCAACGAGATGACTCAGCTGCCAGATCAACAAGAACAAGGAGTAGTATGGAAAGGAACAAGAGGAGGAGAAGGAAGACGGATAGGCCGAACACAGACTGACTGCCTGCCTGGCATGCATCCGTGCGTTCGTGCGTCCGTGCCTGTGTTGCTTGATGTGACTTTGGAAAGAAACACACCTCCTCAATGTGACTGTGGAGAAGAACGGGAGAGGAAAAAAGGACTCGACTCAACTCTGCTTGACCGAAGCTGGCATAATCCCCCATGTCACCTCCTCGCCTTCGTCAAGAGCGGTTTGAGAACGATTTGCTTCCCTGAACCTCCGGCAATTTCTGAGAGCAACACAAAGCCAGTCAACACTTGGATGCAACTGCACGCCGCAACGCCGACAGAACGAGAAAGGCAGAGCAGCCGGGGAAAAAAAAAGAAAAAGCACAGCAGCGCACGGAACCATGTCCACGTTCGCTCCCTTTTGTTTTTGCTTGTGTGACATCTTGTGCCCCTAGCCACTGCCGCCCTCGTCCTTCTCCATTCTGGTGACGCCTTCGCTCATCACCGCTAGCCTAGAGCTCCTTCACACTGGTCATATTGACGGCTGACCTTGTGGGCACGTCAATTACCACCAAACCACCATCTCCCTAGACAACTACCCCTCTAACTCGATCGTCTAGACCTTTGCACGACCCACTTCAATGTATGTCTAATAGACTACCTGTAACGCCGACCTTCGCCCTCGGAATTCGCCATCAAAACACCTTTGCTCCATCTAGGACGTGCAACCTGCCAGTACGCCCACCATGTCGCAATTTGTACCTGCAGACCGATTTGTTCTGCCAGAAGGATCGGCTCTAGCTTCCAGCAGACTCCACACGATCTTCTACGGTTCTCTGGTCATCCAACATGTCATCTTCCATGGCCTGTCACACTCTTGGCTCAAGGGCGGCAGTAAGGACATGCTCAAAAGGCGCTGCTGGATCCTGACCACCCTGGCCAGCTTCGTCATGTGCATCGCTAGCTTGCCATATCTCTACGATCTCATCCTCGGCGGCTTTGACCTTCATGCCATCCGACCTAGGACCAAGACGGTCGCCGAGCCATTGGCTGCTTTCTTCGTCGCCTACCTCCTCTCGGACCTCACACTCGGCTCCATCTACTATCGGAAGCTGATCAACCTGTCGTCAGGTTGGATCCACCACATCGCTTACACCTTCCTCTTCTCGTTTTGGGTTCACAAAGGCTGGGGCCACATCGCAGCAGCGGCTGCCATCTTTGAGCTGCCGACACTCATTATGGGCGTTGCTTCCATTCACCCGGTCCTCCGCTCCAACATGGCATTCACTGTCACCTTTTTTGCTACACGCGTCTTCTACCACTTTGCCCTGCTTCTTTCTAGCGTCACCGAACACGGTCGCAGTGCTCCCGGCATCAACGGCAGCTGGGGTCCCGCCATCAGTCTGACTGTCACCTATCCCATGCATCTTTGGTGGGGATACAAGTGTGTATGCAGCATCCGACGTAGGATGCACAAGAGGAAACTCGGAGCAGCACAAGTCGCCAAGGAGAAGGCGTCGCTTGCCTCTGCTGCTGGCCAGCTCTTCAACGGCATGCCAGCACCAGACACAAGCAGTGCTGTCAATACCCCTGCCGTTACCCCAGGTGCAGGTGCAACACCAGCAACTGCCAACTTTGGCGCCACCGGTCCCGTCCATGCCGCTTTCGCACGCGCTGCATCTGCTGCTCGACCTAATGTCAACCTCCTCTTGCCGAATCGCCGCCGAGGTCAACGTCAAGCTGATGAGGTGCATGCGACCCACCCACTCCTCTTCAGAACGCTTAACCCAAGCTACATCAACTCCAATTCAATTTTCACTGCTCCCGTGGCTCCCGATGGTGCCGGGCCTGACGACATCGAGCCCTTCCTGGCGATCCGATCTCCTGCAGAGGCTAGCGATCGAGCCCGCCGTTTGGTAGCCGATGCCGTTCGCAAGGTCTGGATCAATGCCCCTGCCAGTTGGCGCCGTCAATTCGAAGAGGAAGCAGGTGTGCGACCTAAGGGGCTGGGAGCCGCAGGTCGCATCCCTTCTTACACTACGGACGAGTCCTCAGAAGAGTATGAAGAGGCCGACTCGGACTTGATTGCCTCTTCCAACGCCCCCTCTGGCATGTCAGAATCTCGAGCACGCCGCTACCTTCAAGCACAGCGCTCGCGCATTCGTCATGCAGTGCTCCGTGCTGTGAGGACGGCGATCAACGGTCGAGATGCTGATGGTCTCAAAGCTGTCACCTCGTTCGACGGCAATCGCATCACCACCTTTGCCGATGGAGCTCTTGCTGGCGCTGGTGACATTCGACCCTCCGGCATCGATCGGACTCTGCTTTCACTTGACTTCAGCTCACTTATCAAGTATCTCCCTCCCGACTTTTGGGGGCAGGACTACGAGATTCGCGAGTTCCCTGTCGAGCAAGTGGCGCAGGGCGGGCGTCGCAGACGCATCGTTGGCCAGATCCGTCGGCGTATGGAGGTAGCTCGACGCAATTTTGTTGTGTTCGATTGATGTTGCTGTGCATGCTGATAGATGTTTAGAGTTTGATGACTCGCTACGATGAATGACCTCACGCTTCGCTTGTACTTTGCAATATATACCCCTTTGTTCGCACATTTGCCTTGAATATCTGCGCCTGACATCGCGTAGCAATGCACACTACGGGAAAGAGGCGACAAGGCGCCGTTCACGTATCGTCAAAGATCGGGCCATCAGCCGACTGCCACAATGAACACTTTGAAAAGTATGAGACGGCATTGGCATTCCCATCGTGCCTCGATCCGTCCTTTGCCTGCATGTCATGGTCTAGTATGCAAGTCGTCAGTATGTGGGCGCAGTTCGCAGGATGAGCTCGTTGGTGGCTGGCGACAAAGCTCATGGTGGGGTTCGGAAGAACATTTGCATCGGTCAGGATGCTTCCGTTGTGGGGGTTTCATTCCAGGAGAGGCGCCGCGATGGAAGGCGCCACAACTCGAAGCGCGATCCTTGTTATGCTGACGCCGACAGGCCGAATAGGTAACGATCTTGTGTAACAAGCCCCTGTAGCTGGACGGTTGGGAAGTCATCCGAGAAGACGTCGTACTGTACGTGATCGGAGCAGAAGTCGGTGTTGCGGTGCTACAAAGGGGTTGCATGGGTGAAGCTTGTTGTTAGGGACTCCTGTCAAAAAAAAAAAAAAAAAAAAAAAAAAAAAAAAAAAAAAAAAAAAAAACCCCCCCGTCAACGTTTCGCTCTCGTCGACATTACCAAGTCTGTTATTCGCATGAGCTTGACCATCTTGTGACACATCTTCTCGAAGAGTCATGCAAAGCATCTCAGAGTAGAGCAGCTTCTGGTGTCATAGTGGTTTAATTGAGCCTTGCAACTTCAGTACGAGTGCGAATCAGCTCGATCCGATGAGCTCCGCCGGGGCGCAAGCTTAGCTTCTTTTCTGCGTTACACCGGTCAGATTGTGCGACTCGATGACATTCCAGGCATGCTTCATTCGGTATACTGACCCGACCAGCCTCTTGGCTTAGGTCTCTCACAATCTCTGGGCATCGGCAACTGGATCGATGTGTACGAGCCTCTTAGTAATCTGGGCAGACCTGAGGTATTTACATGCATGTTTCAAATGCTGCAAAACATGACAACGCTGACACCGGCGATCACGGCGATCCGTCCCCAGCGCTGCTCCGTTGACACAGATCACTAGCTTGCTTCGACACAATCAACAGAGGATTCTTAAGGGCGGCTGCTTCTGGCCTCAGGCGCAGCCATGCAAGAGCGATCAGAGCTAAGCTGTCGAGAGGACTTTTCTCTACTGTGGACTGGAGTGTTCTAGTGGCGATGCGATGCAGTCGAAGCTCACCATGTTCAGGCTTGAGGTCAGAGGCTGGAAAGAGGATTCCAGATCAAAAGCTCGTCAAGAGAGAAAAGTGCTGTTTGAAGCTGCTCCATTGGCTATATAGTCTTGTAAAACCATGGTGAATGCAAGACGCTTGCTCATCTCGCGCAGTTCCTGTTCACCCGACTCCTGTGTCTCGATTCCTAACCCTTCGGCATGATTCAACTGCCTTTACTTGCAATCATCGCCACGGCCGTGGTGGCTGGGAGCGTGTTTGGCTCAAGCTGCACATTCACAGATGCAGCGAGTGCCAAAGCAGGAAAGACATCTTGCAGTACGATCACGCTCTTCAACGTCAAGGTGCCTGCAGGCCAGACTTTGGATCTGACGGGACTGAAGAGCGGTACCAAAGTGATCTTCGCCGGCACAACCACTTTCGGTTACGCTGAATGGGAAGGACCGCTGATCAGTGTATCAGGTGATCAGATCGGCATCACGGGAGCTTCAGGCTCGCTGATCGATGGTGGAGGTTCACGATGGTGGGATACGAAAGGAAGCAATGGAGGCAAGACAAAGCCCAAATTCTTCTTCGCGCACAGTCTGAGCAACAGCAAGATTTCGATGGTCAACGTCAAGAATACGCCGGTTCAAGGCTTCAGCATCAACGGATGCACCAATCTCAAGTTGGACGGGGTGAGGATCGACAATTCAGCAGGCGACGCCGGTAAGCTTGGGCGCAACACGGACGCGTTCAATGTGGGGAGCTCGAAGGGCATCTCTATCACAGGAGCTGTCGTACACAATCAGGACGACTGCCTCGCTGTCAACTCTGGTACGGATATCCTCTTCTCCGGTGGGTATTGCAGCGGAGGACACGGCCTTTCGATCGGAAGCGTAGGAGGCCGGAAGGACAACGCGGTAGACGGAGTAGCGATTGAGAACTCGCAAGTGGTGCAAAGCGACAATGGAGTTCGCATCAAGACAGTGGAAGGAGCAACGGGATGGGTAAACAACGTGACGTACGCCAACATCAAGATCTCCGGGATCACCAAGTATGGCATTGACATCCAGCAAGACTATCTGAATGGAGGCCCCACTGGACAGCCTACGAACGGCATCAAGGTGACCAACATCAACATGAAGGGTGTCACGGGCACGGTAGACTGGTCAGCGACGCCTGTCTATCTGCTGTGTGGGAAAGGGTCTTGTACAACCTGGAAATGGACGGATGTGTCGATTTCAGGTGGAAGGAGAAGCAGGGGATGTATGAACTATCCGAGCCCTGCCAGGTGCTAAAGGGGATCAGAATCCTCTATCGACGCTAAGAAGCAGCACGATAGTTCATTGACTTGCTTTCTAGCATCGAGTGGAATAGGATCGTCTGGACGGTGAGGGCACACTTCAGTAAGCGAGGGACGGTATGAGAGTGGATCTGTCTTGATAACAGCCATGCGCTGTGACGGCGAGATGTATCGTGTGGAGCTCGGGAAAATGCAGGCGACTCTGTGCTTTTCACTTGACAAATCACATTGTGGCTGCGTCGTGTTTGGATGTGCAATGAGTCTTTAACTTGAACAGATGTTTGTATGCGAGATAGAGCGAAGCGCACCAGATGCCTTCTTGGAAGCTTTTATGACTCGTCTGAGAGTCTTCGGTGGGCCCAAACGCAATCAGAGAAGTGGGAAGAAGTCCAAGCAGACAGAGAGTCAGGAATGAATCTAGCTTCCGAGTCGGTCTGGTAAGTCAAGTCGAGTCGAGTCGGGACGTTGAGCAAAGCAAGGAGCCAAGTCGACGGGTAATGAGCAACAGCGGTGTGCACAAGTCAAACTAAAAAATCGGGCTTGTGATTGGCACTGGGACGTGTGAAGAGACATTCTACCAAAGCGGTGCGTCACTTTTCCTTGTTTTTGGTGGATTTGCAAAGTTGGTGACACCTGCACGGACCTGCCTTGGAGATCCGTGCAGCTTCACCGATGCAGTGGTAGCCGCGTCCAAGAGGAATGTCAGGAGATACAACAAAGACTGAAACCGATCTTCGGAGCAAGCCCTAAGGACTCTGTCAGGATCAACAAACTAACATGTGAAATCGAGTAATAGTGCAACAGAAAAGCATGTCGGCTGGCTGTGGATGCGTGCATGCATGCCTTGGCTCGGGGCTCTTTGGAGGCGAGGTGCAGCGGCCATTGACGTCGGATCTGGAACCCAACTCGACAATCCTTTCGTAATTGCATTCTCGAATTTGAAAAGATGAAAGATGTGGGCGCTTTCGCTGTCTCCCTGCCAGAATTGTGGGTTTACTTTATTTCATTTTGTTCTATTTTTTATTTTATTTTTCTGGGGCTCATGCCGAGCTTTCCCTTTGACTGTCTTCTACAGGCGACCTCCGTGAGAGCACGACGGATCAAGAGCACGGCAGCTGTTCACAGTTCAGACTCTATCCTTCGGAATGTATCCGATACCGCACATGGGCACTCAACAAGGAAGGTACTCGGCGTTTCAGCACTAGGAGACGAGCTTTCTATGTCTCCATCATCGCACAGAAGCGAGATAGAGTAGGTCACAACACCACTGGTCAGATCCTTGTGGCAGACTACGTACAGACGGCTGATGGTCGGGGTGCATTTCGTTGCAAAGCAAATATGCTTGCTGCCTTTGTGTTCGGGGCTGTGCGTTCAAAAAAACAAAAACAAAAGACAAAAAACAGAGGAATGACTTGACAGTGCTCTTGCTCTTCATGCGATCAAAGTTTTCCGTCGGCCACCTAAATCGCAAAACAAAAAGGAGGGATTGCACAGCGCATAACGGCAGCGACAACTACACAGACGCAGGAACAGGCGGAGAGGGGAGGGAAAGAAAAATTCTCAACTGCAGCTTCCAGCAGCCTCAAAACGTTAACAAGAGAGAGAGAGAAAGCGCCTCGGATCCCTTGCACACGCATCTCGTTGCATACGAGAAAACATCACTGTGAGTGACTGAGCATATCGACACGGCTTCGGTGAGCCTCCTACATCATACCTTTTTTGTCTCATGTCCAGCAAACAGCATCTAGCCTGCCTCGCTTCGGATCACAAGCCTAGTCTCACATACATTCTCAACTCACACTCCCCCGCCCATCCAGCGCGCTCAACGTCAACAGAAACAAAAGAGAGAGAGAGCGAGAGAGAAAGAGAGAGAGAGAGAAAGAGAAAAACTCGCCTGAGAACGTATGGTATTCACGTGATGTGATCCGTGGACAGAGATTCTGCCAAGTCATCGCGCAGCTACAGACGGCGGTCCGGGAGCCTCTCGAGCCTGTGAGCACACTCACGCTCATCCCGCAATCTTAACATCTCTGTATGCTCTCGTATTGTCTTTGCTATGGTATGGATTGATGGTTCGGAACTCATAACTTCGGCTGTTGCCCCGACACTCTCTAGCCACATGCCAAGTTTTATTGTATGACCAACCCACGCGTCGGCAAGTCCGCCTTCTATCGTTTCTATATAATACATCGCTGCCTTGACCTCTTTCCTGTCCTGGACGCTTCCCTCCTTTCAACCTCCAACCAACTCGATCGACTTCCAACATCGTATACACCTCTGCGCGTCGACCGCTTCCAACCGTCGTCACCGCGAATTCCTCATGCCGCCGTTCAACCTTGTCTCTGGTCCGGCAAAGCTGGTGTTGGCCACCTTGCTCGTCCAGCAGGCCGCCGCCCAGAAAGCCAACGAATCCAACGCCTCCACCTCCACCGTTATCTCGTCCATTGTGCTTAACGCAATCATCTTTGCTATCATCTTCGCCGTCTTCCTCCTCGCCCGTCCTCGCTTCAAGCGTGTCTACGCCCCCCGTACCTACCTCGTCGTTCCCGAAGAGCAAATCGCTCCCCTTCCCCATTCGCTTTTCGGCTGGCTTCCCGTATGGCTCAAGACCCCCACCTCCACTATTCTCGAGAAGAATGGGCTCGATGCCTACATGTTTGTCGAGTACCTCGAGATGATGCTCTGGGTCTTTGTTCCTATCTTCATCCTCTCTTGGATTGTTCTCATGCCCACCTATGGCGCCAACACCACTGGCGAAGGAACTGGTTTCAACCGCTTCATTCTCAGTCGTGTCGGTTCTTCCGCTCAGCAGCAGAAGCGTCTTGTTGCTCCTCTTCTCATCCAATGGGTCTTCACCCTTTGGCTTCTCTGGAACATTCGCTCTCGCATGGCCAAGTTCATCAAGCTCCGACAGGAGTTCCTCGTCTCGCCTCAGCACGCCGCTTCAGCTCAGGCCAGGACCGTTTTGATCACCGGTATCCCCAACGAGCTTCTTAGCGAGAAGAAGCTTCGCGCTATGTACTCGCAACTTCCCGGCGGTGTTGCCAAGATCTGGCTCAACCGCAATCTCAAGGAGCTCCCCGATCTCTACGATGAGCGTGAGAAGTGGTGCAACAAGCTCGAGTCTGCCGAGACCAGCCTCATCAAGACTGCTTACAAGCTCGTCAAGAAGAGCAAGGCTCAGGACGCCAGTGGCTCGCTCCCCGACGCCGATGTTGAGACCAACGCCGAGGTGGCCGACCAGTACGTTCCCAAGAACAAGCGCCCCACTCACAAGCTTGGCAAGGTCCCCTGCATAGGTGAGAAGGTGGACACCATTCACTGGTGCCGAGAGAAGATTGCTCGTCTCAACAAGCAGATCGAGAAGAAGCGCTCCGAGATCTCCGTCGACTACAAGAACTACCCTCCTCAGAGCAGTGCCTTCATCCTCTTCAACACTCAGATTGCCGCACACATGGCCGCCAATTCCCACGCTCATCACCAGCCATACCGCATGACCAACCGATACGTCGACGCTCACCCTGATGACGTTGTGTGGGCCAACATGAACATGAACCCCTACGAGCGCAAGATCCGCACTGCTATCGGTTGGGCCATCACCATTGCCCTCATCATCTTCTGGGCTGTTCCTGTGGCATTTGTCGGCATCATCTCCAACATCAAAGGTCTCGCCAACGATGTTCCTTTCCTCGGCTGGCTCAACTCGATCCCCGACGTTGTCGTCGGTATCATCCAGGGTATTCTTCCTACCGTTCTGCTTTCCGTCCTCAACATGTTGCTTCCCATCTTCCTTCGTCTCCTCTCGCGCCTCAGTGGTGTCCCTACTCGCAGCGGCATCGAGCTCGACCTTCAGGGACGATTCGCCGCTTTCCAGATTGTGCAGAACTTCCTCTTCCTTACCTTGATCTCTGGTAACGCCGGCCAGATCGCTACCTACGTCACCGATGTCGCTTCCCAGCCCACTCGATTCCCTGGTCTGCTGGCCGATGCTATCCCCAAGGGTTCGCTCTTCTTCCTCAGTTTCATCGCGCTTCAGGGTCTCTCGGGTGGTGCTGCGCTCTTTGGTCAGCTTCCTAGCCTTGCCGTCTACTACGTCAAGAAGCTCTTGCTCGCCTCCACCCCCCGTAAGGTGTGGCACATCGACCACGATGTTGGAGGACCCGCTTGGGGCACTCTCTTCCCTGCGATGACGCTGCTCACCGTGATCGGAACCGGCTACGTTGCCATTGCACCCATCATCAACGGCTTTGTCGCTTTCACCTTCTTGATCTTCTTCTTTGGCTACAAGTACCTCTTCCTCTATGTCTACGACACCAAGCCCGCCGGCGAGACCTCGGGCCTCTTCTTCGGCAAGGCTATCCGTCACATCTTTGCCGGTCTCTACGTCGAGATGATTATGCTCGCTGCCATCTTCTTCTTGGCTCAGTCCGAGGACGCTGCCGGCAACAAGTCTCAGTCGGCCATTCCCGAGGGTGCCTTCATGGTCATCTTGATCGTTCTCGTCATCGGATTCCACTACTTCCTTAACGACTCTTTCAAGGAGCTCGAGACCGCCCTGCCCCTCTCGCTCACCGTTGGCAGCCACAGGGATGCTCCGAACCACCTCGGCAATAATCGCACTTCGGGTGAGACAGCCTACAACGAGAAGAGGGCCCTTGCACACGGTCAGGGCAGCTCGATGGTTGAAACCGCTCCAGCCATTCAAGGTGGCGCTACCAACAGCAACGGCTACCACGCTGTTGGTACCATCAGCGAGAAGCAGCACCAGCACACCGCTGCTGGTCTCACTCAGAAGCAGGATTCGGCCTTCTACCACCCCTCGCTCACCGGCGAGCAGAAGCCTATCTGGCTGCCCAACGACAAGTTCGGCATCGGTCGTGCTGGTGTTGCCTCGGCTCGCAAGGCCGGTCTCGACGCTACCTACGAGCACACCTCGGTCACTGACAAGGGCCAAGTCCGGACCGACGCTTACGAGCCCCCTGGTGAGCTTCTGGTCTAGACGTTTCACCATACTCCCTTTGATCATATTCTCTGATTAGAACTGATCAGAACTGTATTTTCAGAATCGTGTACTCAATACCCGCCTCATTAACCCTTCACATTCCTTACTAACTCGTTGTTGCTTCTCAATACCTGCATTGTGGGCTTGTCATGCCACGTGCATCCAGGTGACTCGAACTGCATTGAGGATATGAGAGCGTGATATAAGGTCATCGAGAAGGAATTTTGATAGAATCTGGGTCAAAGAGCAGGATCATAGCCATGTCTCGACCACAGCTTAGCCTCAGGCGGCGAAAAATTGTGTCGGTGATAAGAGCACATGTCGATCATTTAATGGGCTCCCCAAGCCGACGAAGCCAAGTGGGGAGTTAAGCCTCCGCACTCATTTTGTTCTACCGGTGATCTTGAAAGCAACAGCACAGCAGACGGGCTATCTTCGGCTTCGACTATTTGCAAAGCTTGTGATCGCGTACTGTGTCTTCTTGCGATATGCAAACATGACTGATACCATCTGTGTCTTTGTCTGTCACCATCATCAGCGTCGCCCGCAACGTCTGTGAGAGCATGCGCCTTTTCCATCGGCATCCCGTCACCATCCTGTTTCGCAGGAACAGTACGACCAATCAACATGACGTCTTCGGCATCCCATGGCCATCTCAATGGCTCAAACAGCTCCATGTCTGCAATACCAAACTTTGACAAAGTCCCTGCCGTCCCTGGCATGCCTCATGGCTACGCCTGGAAAGTTTGGGGTGAAGGCGATCAGCTTGGAACGCTCAACTTGCTCACACCAGAGGTGGTGGCGAGGGCAGCACAAGAGAACATCCGCACTGGTGACAGAGTGCAGATCGACTGGGGTCTCGATAGCGTAGATGTTCCCACCAACCAGCGCAAGCACTTCCATCATGAGTTGATCTATCTCAAAGAGAAGCTCGGCGTTTATGCCACCGACGATGAGGTCCACCTCAACACGCAAACATCCTCGCAGTGGGACGGGTTCAACCACTTTGCGCATCAGGCGACAGGAGTGTATTATGGCGGTCTCAAGCACGACGACCTTCATTCTGGCGCAGTGGACAAGACTGACAAGAACAGTATGCACAAGTGGTGTCTAAATGGTGGAATTGCGGGACGTGGTGTGTTGGTAGACTGGGTGCATTGGTGGGAGTCGACCAAGACGGAACCCATTCCTGCTGCCAACTCATCTTATCCCATTCCCCTATCACAGATCAAGGAGGTGCTCGCATGGCAAAAGACGGAGCTATGCACTGGCGATATCCTGTTGTTGAGGACAGGCGTGGTGAGATGCTTCGAGCAGGCATCGAGTGAGGAAAAAGTCAAGGGCATGATTGAGAATGATAACTTCTCTGGCTTTGAAGCCACAGAAGAGTCCAAGCGGTGGCTGTGGGACAATCACTTCGCTGCTGTCGCCAGTGACAACATGTCTTTCGAGTTCAGACCTCATGGTGGTACGTTGCAAGCCTCTTTCTCACTCCTCTTCCGATGCAAGCATCGATTCCGGCAACAGCTTTCACTGACCTCGATAAGTTTTCCTACGATCTTCACATCAGCACCGTACAGAGTTGTGGAGCAATCCGTCCACTTGGAACTCATTGCTCATGCAGACATTACTAACTTCAGAAACACTTTCTTTTCCCTACACTCACAGTCAAGGGAGGCATTGCATCTTCACCAAATGCCATCTGTGTCTTCTAACTTGAGTGCGTCGTGTCATCACAGGACCTTACCGACATGTTGCTTGTCTCCGTGACTTGCCCATGTATTCTACTCGTCTCGTCGGTCAAAGGAACCGCATTTAGATCAACGGAAAAATTGGGGTTTCAAAAATGAATGGAAATGTTTTGCGCTTGACAGATCAATGATATCTATATTACAGCTCAGCAAGGGCAGTACGACCACCGAGTAGCTCAACGAGCGCCTTGAGCTCGTGCCACCATGCTGTCTTAGCCCGTCTGTTCTTCATGTCGGCATGCTTGGCCATCTCCGTGGCCGAAGTGAAGCAAATGGTAGATCCCTGAATCGTTATCATAACGGCAGTGTCGTCCGAGTACGACTTCTCGGATGGACCTGCGCTGATCTTGGACGACTGAGAAGAACTGCTGCGTTGCTTGAGAGCCTCAGACTCGAGGAACTCGCAGCACTTGAGTGCCAGACGGGTGGCTCGAACACGGTCCAACGGCGATGGAACACCACCTTGAAGTGTGTGACCAAGGCTGGCAGAACGGGCATCGAAGAGGCTGTTTCCCTCCTCTTTGAGAATCTTGGTGATAACCTCTGTGGTGAAGACGTCAGAAGACTTTTCGTTGCGGATAACAAGTCTGCCTTCAGATTTACCCTTGACATCGAGTAGGAATCGCTTCTTGAGGAAAGCAACGTCTTTGCCAAGTTGCTGAAGACCGATGCCAATCTCGGGTGTGTAGACGAGCACGGCACCGGCTGCCAGAGCGCCCATAACGGCAATATAACCACACTTGCCTCCCTGTGTCTCGACAACAAAGACACGGTTTCGCGAAGCCGAAGCCGACTGCTTAACTGCATCACAGGCGTCAACTAAAGCGTTGAGAGATGTGTCGGAGCCGAGTGAGAACTCGTTCATGGGAACGTTGTTCGAGATGGTCGCAGGAAGACCGACGATGGGGATGCGGAATGCTGGGTATCGATCGCGGTTGTCATTGAGAATCTTGACCGAGCTAAATGCCTCGAAACCACCGACGATGAGGAGACCTTCGATCTTGTGCTCTTGCAACTTGTCAGCGACGGCGCCGACGTCAATGTCGGGAAGATAACGGTTGACACCAAGCTCGGAACCACCTCTTGTAGCCCAGTTGTCTACACGGAGCCAGTTGAGCACCGAGAGGTTATCCTCGAGCAAGCCAGGGAAACCGTTGTAGATGACAACGGCGTCGTGACCCTTGGCGAGACAGTAGCGGACAGCTGTGCGTGTAGCAGCATTCATTCCTCCAGCAGGGGCACCGACGTGAATGATACCCATGCGCAGACGCCTCTTTTCTGGGAGCCTCTCGTCCTCTGTGATCTGATTGATGTACTTGAAGGCACGAAGACCTTCGGCGAACTCGGGATCGCGAAGTGCCAGTGCACCGTCAAAGTCTTTGGATTCGATGAGCTTGGCTACCTTTTGCGTCTGCTCGACGGCAAACATGAGTGGGATACGGGTGATCTTGTTCTCGCTGATGCCGATGACGTAGGATGGTGTTTCAGGTGTGGCTTGGAGCACGGCATCGACAGCCTCGATACCTTGGAGTGTGGCAAGGATACGGTCATTGGCGTCGGGCTTTCCACCACGCTGAGTGTGACCGAGGGTGGTGACACGGGTGTCGAGACCGAGATCCTCTGAAAGAACGTTCTTGATCATGTCAGGGGTGATATTGTTGAGTTCGCGGTCAATGGCACCTTCAGCGACAATGACGATCGACTTTCGCTTGCCGAGATCCCTGTGCTTTTGCAGTACCTCGCACATCTCGGTGTGCCACTCCTGAGCCTGCGGCGGGCGCTCCGGGATGAAAACGTAATCGGCACCAGTAGCAATACCTGCCATGAGAGCAAGCCATCCACAGTGCCTGCCCATGACTTCAACAACGAAAGCACGAGAGTGCGAGGCGGCAGTCGAGGAGATCGAATCGACGGCTTCACAGATGCGTTGCAAAGCTGTAGAGGCACCGATGGTGATATCAGTGGTGGCCATGTCGTTGTCGATGGAGCCTACAAGGCCGACAATGTTGAGGTGAGCAAACTTGGTAGCCTGTTCTTCGGTGATTCTGTTCTTGGCTTTGAGAGATGCGACAAGATCTGGCCACTCTGCACGGAGCTTATCGGCTCCTGTGAGACTTCCGTCACCACCGCAGACAGCAAGGGCGTCGATGCCGTTGATGATGAGGTTGTAAGCAGCCTGTTGACGACCTTCGGGGGTGCGGAAGATCTTGGATCGCGCAGTACCGATAAGAGTGCCTCCCTGGTCCATCCAGCCTCGAACATCATCCCATCCTACACGGATGATGTAGCGTCCTCTCAGTCCGAGTTCTTGCGCCTCTCCAACACCTTCACGCAGGAGCTCTCCTTCGCCGTATGTGGGCACAAAGTGGGTCTGTTCGGGATGGCTGTCAAGATCCGCTATCTCGCCTTTTGCGCTGAGATCCTCGAAGAAAGTGGAGGTGTTTCTGCTGATGGATGGGGTTGCAGAGGGAGTGTTTCCGGGAGAATGGTTGCCGCGAACGAGACCCTCCCAGCCCTCTCGGATGACGAATGCTTCGCATCCACGGAAGATGGCCATCTTGACAAGGGAACGAACGGCGGCGTTCATACCTGCCGAGTCACCACCGGAAGTCATGACGGCAAGCTTTCGAGGTTGACCTCCATTGTTGGCCGGTGCGAACTTGGACGGGAAGGGCTTGGCCGACTGCGCCGTGAAGTTGTTCTCCGCACGAATTGCGGGGGCGAAGGAAGGCATGACTGCGATATGTAGCCTGGCGTGATAGGATGTGATCTGGGGTGAGATTAGGATGGGATGCGCAATTTGCTAGCCCCCTTTTGCTTGCGCAGTAAGCCTGGGATCTCTTGTGGGAGATGAGGAACGTAGAAGTGGTTTTTGGACGTGACTGTGCTTGAGGATGGTGGTATCCTCGACGATAAGAGCGCAGATTCGGCGTGGCGAGCAGTGCGGAAGGAATGTGGTTGGCAGTATCGAAAGTGGTGATCAAGAAGATGATGGATAAAAGTGAATTGACGAAATCGCAAGCAGGGAAGGCCAAGCTGTCGCAAAGGATGACGTTTGGCTGCCGAGGTGTTGCTCTCTCTCTCTCTCTCTCTCTCTCGTGATTTAGTTGAAGATAACAATTAGTGTACACCGTTTATTGGGGCCACAATCAGGCTCCCTTACTACAGTCATATGCTTCTTGTAATGCTTAGTATTTTCATAACATGAACCTAATTGACAGTGATATATATATACCTTGTTGCCACTCTGATCATATCTGAGCAGAATGAGTCATCTCTCTTGTACCCCTATGTTGTTGCTTCATGAAGTGTCCCTGAGCCATTGCTATGACAACCTTCATATGTTTCATTGTGTTTCTTGCTTATGCAGGTGCTCAGTACCATGGTGCCTCAGCTGCAACTCATGCATCCCCTTGAGATGCCAACACATCTTCAACTCCCCCTCTTGACAGGATCTCCAGTCCTATCATCCTAGCTAATCATGAGGTATTGAGACCCTGTAAAGGCTTTGTTAAGATATCAGCAATGTTGTTTGCTGTTCTGATGAATTTGATTGCCACATTGCCTTCTTGCATGTGGCCATGGACAAAATGATAACATGTGTCAATGTGCTTTAACTTCCAGTGTTTAGCTGGGTCTTTACTTACCTGGATACATCCTTGACTATCTGTGTAGAGTGTTGGCTGGGCATCCATGATTTCCAAATCCCAAAGCAAATATGAGAAGAATAATGCTTCTCATACTGCTTTGGAGGCTGTGACAAATTCTGCCTGAACTGCAGACAATGCCACACATTTCTGAATGTGAGACTTCCAGCTGACTGGACATCCATATATGTACATTATTGCTCCTGAGGTGCTTCTCCATCCATTCATTGGGTCTGACACCCAATTCACATTGGTATACATCATCACTGGTTTATCTGCATGTTTGCTTGACCCTCCCCCTAAGTGCAATTGGTATCTGCTCATCTGATTTAAGTACTTTACCATATGAATTGCTGCCTTCCATGCACTGTCAATTGGGCTTGACATGTATCTCACCAGTGTACCCACAGTGAAGGCAATATCTGGTTGAGCAGTGTTGGAAACCCATAATAGTTGGCTGACCAACTCTTGGTACTTCTTCACTCATTGGAGGTTGCATTTCTTGCCACCAGCAACATTTACCACACTCAGCATAGGTATCCAGGATTTCTTGTTTGCTCCTTCTAACCATTTGTTTACCATTGCTTTGACATATGCCATTAAATCCAGGGATATCCTCCTTTGTCTTCTGTCATGTGTGATCTTGATACCAAGGAACTCCTTGATTTCCCCATTGTCTTCTGTTTCCCATTTGTCCATGATTTCTCATTTGGCATGATTGACTTCATCACAGCTGGGTGATGTTATCAACATGTTGTCATGGGCCTGGATGCTCAAGAAGCAGGAGGGTCACGGGTTCATATAGAAGGAGCACAGGTATTGAAGATCTAGTCAATACCAGTAGAGAGCATGGTCGTAGTGCAGTCTCCATGGAGACCATGGACTCCTACAGACTCACATGCAAAGGAGGGCCAAGCACAGCCACGAGGAGGACCAAGCTCAAGGAGCAGGCACAGCCACGAAGAGGACCAAGCTCAAGGAGCATGCAGATGGTTACCACTCAGGGGCTCGAGAGACAAGAGCCAAAGGAACTGTCACTGATCAAAGGAGAAGGAGCAGTGTCGAAGGAGTCGACACCAGGTCATGAGGAGGAGGAGCATGTCAGGGGTCTCGCGCCTGAAACCCAGGTCGGTCTGTCGAGATACTCGGTGACTATCAAACTGTGCGACAGCTATTGTCTCGGTATCGGTGACTATCAAGTTGTGCAGTGACAGCAGGTGGCGTTCGTTGTATATACTATCGTAGGTTTCGGCTGACCTCTGTGGACACTCCGTTCAGGGGTAGCTCAGCACAATCAATATCAATGCTTCGGTTATGATGACACCAAGGTCTGGTGTGAGTGTTGATGATGATGAGGTTGATGTCATTGGTGATAAGGTTGGTGAGTGTTGATGATAAGGAGGTTGATGGTGTTGGTGATAAGGTTGGTGGTGTCAACACGAGTGTCCAGTGTGTTGACTTGATGCTTGAAGTGACCCCCAGACCGCAGTGGACTACTGCCTTCGGTTCTATCTATATCCGGACTGCTAACCTGCTATGGGCGCCTTCGGACATCAGGTAGTGGTGATACAACACACACACTACAATGAGGAGCAACCTTGATAGATTGCTGCTATGCTGACTGTAACTAATGAGTACTTATGTTTCTAAGTATTGACTAGTTGTATGGTGAGTAGAGTGGATGAGGATCCACTCGACCTATGATGATGAGAAAGCATGGTTATATACCTCTTCTCAGCATCGCCAGCGATGCTGCTCCTGCTCTCTCTCCAGAGAGTACCTTCTTCATCGAGTACTGCTCAGGGGCCTCTCCTGCTTGGCACCCCTGTGCCTCTTGAGCTGTGTCGACTCCTTCGACACTGCTCCTCCTCCTCATGACCTGGTGTCGACTCCTTCGACACTGCTCCTTCTCCTCATGACCTGGTGTCGACTCCTTCGACACTGCTCCTTCTCCTTTGATCAGTGACAGTTCCTTTGGCTCTTGTCTCTCGAGCCCCTGAGTGGTAACCATCTGCATGCTCCTTGAGCTTGGTCCTCTTCATGGCTGTGCCTGCTCCTTGAGCTTGGTCCTCCTCGTGGCTGTGCTTGGCCCTCCTTTGCATGTGAGTCCATAGGAGTCCATGGTCTCCATGGAGACTGCACTACGACCATGCTCTCTACTGATCTCGACTAGATCTTCGATACCTGTGCTCCTTCCATATGAACCCGTGACCCTCCTGCTTCTTGAGCATCCAGGCCCATGACAGAGCAGTGTCGAAGGAGTCGACACAGCTCAAGAGGCACAGGGGTGCCAAGCAGGAGAGGCCCCTGAACAGCACTCAATGAAGAAGGTACTCTCTGGAGAGAGAGCAGGAGCAGCATCGCTGGCGATGCTGAGAAGAGGTATATAACCATGCTTTCTCATCATCATAGGTCGAGTGGATCCTCATCCACTCTACTCACCATACAACTAGTCAATACTTAGAAACATAAGTACTCATTAGTTACAGTCAGCATAGCAGCAATCTATCAAGGTTGCTCCTCATCATAGTGTGTGTGTTGTATCACCACTACCTGACATCCATAGGTGCCCATAGCAGGTTAGCAGTCCAGATATAGATAGAACCGAAGGCAGTAGTCCACTGTGGTCTGGGGATCACTTCAAGCATCAAGTCAACACACTGGACACTCGTGTTGATGCCACCAACCTTATCACCAACACCATCAACCTCATTATCATCAACACCCACCAACCTTATCACCAACGTCATCAACCTAATCATCATCAACACTCACACCAGACCTTGGTGTCATCATAACATTGATATTGATCGTGCCGAGCTACCCCTGAATGGAGTGTCCACAGAGGTCAGCCGAAACCTATGACAGTATATACAACAAACGCCACCTGCTGTCACTGTGCAACTTGATAGTCACTGATACTGAGACAATAGCTGTCGCACAGTTTGATAGTCACCGAGTATCTCGACAGACCGACCTGGGTTTCAGGCGCGAGACCCCTGACACATGTCATCTACATATGCTGTGATGATTGTGATTTTGTCACCTGTCCCTCTTGAGTATAAGCATGGTGCACTCAGCATGCAGTGAAATCCAATCATCCAGAGATGTGAGTCTAGTTCAATGTTCCATTCACAGCCTGATTGTTTCAGACTGTACAGTCCTTTCACTACCTTTGACACTTTTCTGGGTGGTATTTTGAATCCAATTGGGGGCTTGAGATATACATCATGGTGTATAGTAGAGTTCAAGTATGCTTGTTTTACATCTATAGAATCCATTTCCCAATCTTGCACTGCCATGATGGCAATCACCCCTTGAATGGATTGGATGGGCACTACTGGTGCAAAGACCTCTGTGTAGTGTTTGCACCCTTTGGGAGGTCAGTGATCTCCCATGTGCCCATTGCTTCTAATCCATCCAGTTCCTTTCACATAGCCTCCTCCCAATGTTTCCTATCCTCTCCACTCAATGCTTCACACACAGTTGGGTCCAGATTCTTTCTCCATTCCAGTCATGTCACCACAAGTCCAAAGAGTTCATTGTCAATTTGGGTTTTGGCGATTGATTTGTGTTCCACCATCTTTGCTGTTCCTCCACTTAATCTCTCTTCTGAAGCTAGCTCCATATTCATGTATTCTTTTAGTGGCTCCCCATCTGCTTCATCAAATAGATTTTCCTCAGTATACCCTAGATTTTCGAAATCTTCTTCAGTTGTCATTGCTGGAGGTGTCTTTGTATCAACCGGTTGCCACTCTGTTCTGTCTGACCAACACTTTGATTCCATGAACTTTGCTGAATTGCTCCAGAATATGTTTGGATTGTAGTCTGGGCTGTAGAAAAGCCAGCCCTTTCTCTCTAGACTGTATCCCAAGAAAATAGATGTGATGGCTCACTGATCCAGCTTTTTGTTATCCTGTTTGACTTTGGGTACATTTACCCATGCCAAACACCCAAACACTTGTAGGAGTCTTATGGGTTGCTCCAGCAACTTCCTGAACATTGTCTGATAAGGAAACTTGTTGTCAACACTCAGAGTAAGGTTTATCTTGAATGCCACCACTCTGATTGCATATGGCCAGAATCT